CCGACAGCCCATAAACATAAGCAATCAGAAGTCAGAAGGACGGAAGTCTCTGTATGTGGAAGTTTTGTTCCATTTGGATGAGTACCACAGAACTAATCCATTGGAAACAGAAGCTACTGACCCATACCAGGAGCTGGAGAAAATAAGCTTTTTGTAACTCTTATTAATGTCACATGCCTGGCACTGAACTATTAAGGTGGGTTTCTTACCATGGCTCTGGGTATCACAGTTGCCATACATTTGCATATGAGATGAACATCAGGCAGCAGAGGCCACGGGAATAGAAAAGGTATGTTTAGGTTTGAAGCTCATTCTGAAAATGCTGCTGTTCAGACAAGCATATAACCTGTCTACAGAACAGGATGCAAAGAATATTTTTGAAGAATTTGATGAGGTGTTTAATAGACCTGAAAGCATTGCGAATAAAACACATCATACCGATACAGATCCCATTATGCTGCCAAAAGTACAAGCATCACATATAGTACAGTCTCATTAGTCCGGAGAAATGAAGGAAAAGTTGATTGTGACAAGATGGTAAGATGCAGTGTTATTGAGAGAAGGCAGATACTAACTGGTGTGGTTAGCAACCCAATCACATACAATAATAAGAAATGTTATGGATTTATGTAGATTCAGGAGATTTAAATAAGGCTACCAAATACAACATAGCCCAAGGGAGCGCTGGGGAAAGACATGTCTAGACTTCCAACAACAAGAATATTTCCAGATCTAGATGGAAGCCTGTGATTTTGGCAACTCCGGTTTGATAAAATATTAAACTCTACACCTTCAACTCACTTTTTGCTGATGCATTTTTTTAGTAACTTTACTCAGTGATTGCTTCAGAACTTAAAATTGCCACCCCACAGAATTTTAAATCCCTTAAAATCCAGGTGGAAGCAGCTATTTATAAACTCTTGAGCTAATGTGATAATCGTCAACACTGTAAATATAATAGCTGATATCCTGTTCAGCAGGTCTGGATATCAGAAACATTTTTCTTCACCATATAGGACTTTTATAGTTTTCTTTCTTTTTTTTTTTTTTTTTTTTTTCCAAACGAAAAGAGAACAACTGTGTCAGCGTTAAGCTCTATGTCAAATAAACTCCAGGTTTAGAATCCTGTCTGATATAGGCCAAGGACTTGAACCTAGATGTAGAGCTTCATGACATGTTGCCTTCAGAAGTGAGGCCAACACCTGAAGTTCCTCTGCACTGCTGCTTTTCCCCAATGCTAGATCACAATTCCTTTTACTCCATTAGCTGGTGCATGCAATGTATCTGTGTGAAAAACAACCCCTTTCGTATGCCCACAAGGATTATTTTTAAACATTCATTTTCACCATGTTTCTAGTACGTCCCCACAAAAAGTTTGTAGTGTCCTAAATGAGAGTGTCAGTCCGTGCCACAAAAGCAAAAAGCAGTAGATGATGTCTGGATATTCTTAAATAGGGTTTTGCTTCTGAAGTCAGAACTGCATCCTGAGTCTCTCACACATCAGACTTAAAACTGGGCTCTAGACTGAGCATCATTTTGGGCCAACAATTATTCAGTCATTCTAAAGCATGTTACAAATACCATTAGGTGTACACCTGGAGCAATTTCAAAGGGACCCTTTGCAGAATTGTAAATACTCTGCTTATAAAGCAACTCACCTGCTATGGAAGAAAATAGCAGGGAGTGTATCCGAGTTAGATTTCAGATTTCCTACAGGAGTATTTCCCTAGGGAGGTTTTTAGCAATCAGATACAGACTGAGAGGGGCCTTTTTTCTCTGAATTTAACCAGAAATTGCACACTCAAGACAATAAATTTTTCCCTCAAAAATGACTGGATTAGTACTCCATATCAAAAACCGGATTCTGGTAATTCCTGCTTAGTTCTGAGAAGGACCCGATCACATCAATATAAACAAGTAATGACTCATCTGAAACACAGGAAATTATTCTGAAAACATAAGTACATTTTTAAAGCACACTAAAGACTTTCTTAGAGAAGTTAAGCTTTCAAGAGCTTCTAAGTATAAAAATCACAGCAGCAGCAAGAAGGTTTGAAGTAATCATGAGTCAAGTAATACTATTTCTGAGTAATGAGAAGCACCAAATGATGCCAACTTGCAAGTGATTGAAAGAGTAACTCTGCATGGATGGTCGACAGTGAAAGCCCAGACACATCCAATATAACTTTTTGTAGGATCTATCAATGTGAAGTTGCTGCACATAGTGAAAGGTGGTATAAAAAACTCCAAATCATAATGCCACACAGCATGAGAGCAGAAATGCTAAACAGAGCCCCCAAGTGCCTATCTGGGTTTTGAGACATAAAACACTCTATAGAATGTCATATAAATGCCCTTACGGAAAAGAACAATAAAATCTGCCACAAATATGGGAAGTGATGTAGAAGAATTGTTATTCCTTTTGAACTTTCTGAGCAATAATGGAATAATTAATTAAGCTAATAACTGTGGTAGTCTTCAAGGAAGAAGGGTATTACCTGAAGAACTGAGTAAAGTTTGGATTTTACTTTTCCCTGCTCTCTAAACTCTGCAACTAGATTGCTTTCAAAAGACCAAAGAAAAAAGGTGAAGAAATTGTAACTTGAAAGTGAGTTGTTGCCCACCCTAAATTCCCAGAGTTTCTGTTACTTGCCATAGGACTCTTGGCCAAATCATTCCTTCCAAGCAGAGCCCAGTTTCATCTTGGCAGAAGCAACACATGACAATGGGTGTCTGAGATATAAAAGCCTCTTCAAGCGCTACTGAAGTGCTGCCATTGCCCCTCTCCTTATAAGGGGGTGTAGCATATGCTACCCTGACTAGCTGATTAGCACTACTTAGAGCTAAATAGCAGGAGGATGACCCACAGGATCAGTTTTTACCTTTCTGTGTGTCTTTAGACCGGCATATCCCACAGAGGAAGCCAAAACATGAGTGGTCTCTCACATGAAGGATGCAAGAAGTATCTCTCATCTCTCCCAAAATGATACCATACTTTCTCTCTCAGATGAGATCTTGGATAAATTAGTATTCATTGTACGTAATCCATATGTTTTCTGGGCAAAATTTATATTGACTGAGGACTATGATTTGTTTATTTGGTTGCAGTAAAATAGTCTGGAGTGTTACACATTCTACATGAGAAAGACTTTTAGCTTTGTACTCTCTTTTCCTTATAAGAAAAAAAAAAAAAAAAAAGAAAAAAAAAAAAAAAAAAAAAAAAAAAACTTTATGCAACTGGAAGTAAATTGAGTGTAAAAACATCACTGTAAAATGATGTGCTTTATAAAGTCCTGAATATGGTGCATCTTTTGTGTTTTGTTTCTAATTGTTTGCTCAATACAAAAGGATAATTCATTAGGCCAATTCTCCAAATAATCTCAAAGTGACATGAATTCCTTTGCAGAGTGAATGTCTGTAGCAAGTAATCCATGGAAAACAGACAGGCGTCTCTTGTCATTTTGGAGCTCTAATCCACTGCCTGGAGCATGAAAATGCTCAGGATAACAAGTGTGGGAATGACCAAAAGCAACATTATTTCTGGATTTTATCTTCTTAACAATGCTGCTGATCAATAGAATTGCTGAATCTGGCAGATACAATGCCACGGGATTAATGAATTAAACTCAGGAAGCAAAAGAATTTGTTAAAGAGGAGAGGGGGAAAGCCCCTTCTTTTCCACTGGTGTGTGAATATTAAGCAATGAAAGCAGCAATGACAGAATTTTATCCCTTGCTTTACCATAGCACCAAGCCTTGTTCTGCACGAATCTTTAGATTTTAATTAGAACCATACTGACACCCGCATTTTCAACTATGAACTTCAGTTTCAAAGTTAAGGCTATTTCCTAGATGCTGGTTTAGTAGCTAGGTCTGAACATAAAGAAGAGATGCTGTGTTCTGTAAAATTTGGAGTGTAGTGTGATCACCATTGGTGGGACTAGATAAATGGGTTTTTTAAGCCTCAGTATGTAATGGTAAAAGGAAGGAAGAGAACTCACTGAAGTACCATAGACTCTGTCGCCATAAAGAACTCACAGACTCTTTTTTTTTATTATTATTATTTTTTTTCCTAGAAAAGCATAAAACAAAATAAAGAGGGATAACCACACTTCTTTGATGATGCCAATGTTTTGTAAAGGTTGATTGCCAGCGTTTCTGTCAATAATGCATTAGGAATGCAATACAGGGTACATATCTGTGTAAGGCATTACGTTGCAAAATGTACATTAAATTGATATTCAGCATAGCACGGAAAACTGAATAAACCATCACTCACTAGGAGGGGGTTGTTCAGTTGTGTGGGAGGGGAGAGCTTAAGTTTGCTTGTATGTATTTACAGCTCCTTAACATTTAGAAGACCTCTGGGGATTTTGTGTGCCCTTTTGTTTAAACAAACAAACAAACCTCATCATCTAGTTTGATTGCATCAAAATATTAAGACTATAATAATCACAGAGTCCTAGAAATTGGAAGGTTTGAAACGTTTTTTAACTTCTAAGAACACTTCAGAGAATACTCCAGTGTAATTTATAAGCCCCTCTAGACCTGTACATGTCTTGAACTGATTGTTGAAGTGGGCTTTACTAGGAATTTCTTTCGCTGAATTGGAGTAGTGCAGGAGGTGGGGAGGGCGGGAGGGTTAGAGCAACCTTCCCTAACAAGGCTTTAAAAGCTTCAGTGGTAAAGTTACGCTGATGGAAGACTTTGTTACTTGTTTTTAACTGGAAGCAACCCGAGGAGGATTACGTTATGGGCAGGAGATGTTATTTATGTGGGTAGCAACATTGTGGGTTGTGTTGTGCTGTTGTTGTTTTTAAAGAGGGGGGTGTACTTTTTTTCATTAGAAGCGTAAAATGAAATTAAAAAAAAAAAAAAAAAAA